AAGTAAAATCAGTTAGTTTAGCACATTAGTTAGTAGTTACTAATAGGGATCTAATTTACGCATACTTCCAAGTACTTTTTTTGTGTCTCATGAATCCTACATTACATACATTGTATAATAGTATGGCGCTATCTCCTTTCTAATTGACATTCTAGTAGTATGCACAAATCAATTAGATATGCAATATGTAATCCAGTACAAATGCAGTAATCAATTAGAAAGGTAATCTGCTAGAATGTGGAGCACAGGCACCAGGCAACGGTAGTATGTAGGATGCATTTGTGCATAGAAAAGAATTCAATTAGAAGCATAACATACTCTGACAAATGCAGGCACCGCATACCTTAATTAACAAAATGTATTAAACACCCTAGGTTCAGCGAATTCAATTAGAAAAGAATTCGATTAGAAACGTAACAAGGCACAACTTAATTAAAAAAATGTATTAATCACCATAGGTTCAGTGAAGGTAGACATAGTACCCCTAACAGTAAGAACCTAAAATTTGGAACGGAGTAAAACAGTAGAACATCGATTCTGAGGTGTACCTCGATCAGCTGACTGATGCAGACAGCGCATACCTTCAAGGATGAGCCGGCAGCCCGCAGCAATAGGAAGAATTCTAGGGCCATGGTCTGAAACTGAAACTCTCCTTCAGGAGGGCGATGACAGATAATGAATCGTCTCCGAGCTCCTGCCTGTCGGCAGAGAACAAGGATGACAGGAGAACGACGACGCCGCTGCTAAAGATCCCACCGTTGCTCTTCCCTCAGGTCAGAGGAGATCGCTGCCAGATCCGGGCCGCCATTGCTGGACGACAGCACGTCTCCTACCTGCTGGACAGATGGGTTGGGGGAAGGAAATGGAGAGTGGGGGGCTGGCTTTCGGCGTACGGCCGGAGGGCTGGGTAAGAAAAAACTAGACCGCCGCTGCCGCCGCCAACCTCTGTGTCGTGTGTGTTCTACCCGGTGAGAGAATTGGCATTGCTAGGGTTTGATGAAGTCTAGGCACGCACCAGGATTTTGGGCTGGGCCGGTGGCAATACAAGGCGGGAGGGTAATTTTAGATGAATTTTATATAGCCAAAATTTCTAAGTCAATAGATCGAAAATAGCTCTTTTGCAAAAAAAAAGAAATTATATAGGATTCGAAATTATATAACAGGGATGTCATATATTTATTAAAAAAAATAAATTACTAAATAGCAATGAAAATAGCTCGAGAATCCCTTTTGTCTGTTTATGAAAAAAATGCATTTCTTACAAAAGTACTGCAAAGTGATTTTCCATCTATCTCCGAGATATAGGCTAGAGTGGTATGTATGAGCTTAAACATATCTTTTACAATTTTTTTAAACCATATTGGAGGTACATCTTGATTCTTTGAACGCGAAAATAAGTTGATAAGATCAGGTCTAGCCTCCATCCTTCATCCCCCTCTTATAAATTGGAAAACAGAAGAGGTGTCGATAATGTTGACACATGTCGCGCTCGTATTCACGCCCTCGTCTTGACTTCAATCAACAACGTCTTCTCCTCCATTCTCGCGTGAACACTTACTTGTTGACGTCGCCAAGTAGCCGTCCATGATCCATCCTCCAGCCCTCAGTCCCTCGGTCCAAGCCTCCACATTCGTCCTTCACTGCTCTTAGCCCATCGCGCACTAACTCGCTTGACCCTTCTCCATTATCATCGACCGTCTCAACGTTCAACACATGCACATCACAAGATAAGAGACGTGTTGCACATACACAACAACAAATCCGAATAGCTTTTACTTGCACTAACTCTAATAATATCTTTGCAAGTCCCTACATAATTCTAGTAGCTTTGATTCCTACTCTAATCAGAAGCACCACACAAGAGCTACTATTAACACGTTAATCTAGCACCTGGCATAGAACTTGATGGCTTGGAGAAGTTGTCTGGGCCAGATGTATTCCTCGGGTTTTGATCAAACAAACCCTAACTCTCTTGGTAAAAAAATATTGTTCTCGCTTTACGAGAAGTTAATTCATCTTAATTTTAAATATTGCCATGTAATAGGTATCATTAGACAAATAATGAAATTTATTACCATACCAGACCTTTTTGGAGCTAGAAACATTGACACTTGATTTAAACCTAGATGATACATTAGTCACCATTTGTCTATTTATGATATTTTTTAAAATGTAATAATACCTAAAATTGGTCACAAAATTCTACACATTGACACATTAGCATATTTTAGGTCCATATAAGAATTTCATAAAATTTTCAAACAATTATAAGAATTCCCCGCGCATTGGTTTGGTCATTGCGATACAAGCCATGTAAGCGCATGCAATGCGGTCTTCACACTCTCTATGTTGAAGTTCAAAAAATTTAAACGAGCTTGGATGAAATACGATCAGATGAAAAAGTGTAAATTTCGACGAGTTCTAAAACCTTCTAGTTGAAATTTTTCATTTAAATTTATTTGGAGTCTTATTTTAAAAATCAATCCAAAAGGAAAACATCATCCGCGTCACATTTTGGAGGTTCAAATCCTTTCGACCACACGCTCGACTGTAGAGTTCAATTCTTTTTTGCGTTCCCATTTTTTTTTATCTTTTCCATTCTCAAGTACTAGTTTATTGGGCCCACCAGCCAGGCAGCCATCTCACCGAGGCCCTGTTTAGTTCCTTTTAAAATACTAAATTTTTCAAGATTTTTCGTCACATCGAATCTTTGACGCATGCATGAAGTATTAAATATAAATAAAAAATAAAACTAATTACACAGTTTAGACAAAATCCATGAGACGAATCTTTTAAGCCTAATTAAACTATAATTAGACACTAATTATCAAATAACGACGAAAACACTACCATATCATTTTGCCAAAATTTTCGGCAACCAAACTAGCCCCAAACCAAAGGTAGGAACCAAACCCCAAAATTTTTGGCCACCGCCGCTGCCGAGCGCTCGTTCTTTCTTTTCTCCCGCCAGACCGCCACCGTCGCGCGCTCGCTCTACCTCCGATTCCAAAATTTTCAGCCGCTTCCGTCTGTGCCGCACGCTCACCCGCCCAATCAATCCTCCAAATCGTCTTGCCCTCCAAATCATGCCGCCGCCCTCCCATTCGCTGTCCACCCCAAACCTCACACCACCCCGTCGCATTCACCTCCCTCTATGACGACGGCGGCGGCTGTGATGGTCAGCTCGGCGGGCTCCCTGACGGCGATGCTGCAAGAGCCGGCGCAGGAGCTCAAGCTCCACGAGCTCGCGCGGAGGTGAGACTTCCCACTGTCCTCCATCGACAAGACCGCGGTGGTCCGCGTGTCGGTGGATTTCATCCAGGTTTCCCCCCGGCCGTAGGAGCCGGCGGGACCAAGACGCCGCCGTGGCCGCGATGGACGACGGTTTCGCGAGGGCGCTGGTGCCGTAGTACCCGGCCGCCGGCCACATCGCGGACGCGAGCCCCGGGGAGCCCGTCGTGGGCTGCACCGGGCAGGGCGTCTGGTTCGTGGAGGCCGCCGCGAGCTGCGCGCTTGCCGACGTGAACTACCTCGAGTGCTCTCTGCTCATCCCCAAGGAGGAGCTCCTCCCGCGCCCTCCCCCGAGTAGAAGCTCGAGGACCTCGTCCTCATGGCACTGGTTCGATCGCTCACCTCCAGATTCCCTTGTCTGATTCGAGTGTCCGGCGACAACCAAGATTTCATACGCTCGATAGCCGGATCCGGGGAGAGATTGTCTTCAGGTGCTGAGAATTTGCGTCGCTTCCGGAGGTGGTCGGCGTGATGCGGGAGGCCAAGGAGGCGCTCACCTTGGAAGTTGTAAGTTCTCCTTGGTTTGTTCTCTTTTTGTTTCCTGGGTATATATTCTTCTGACGACTCTATGAATCTTTGGCAGTGGCAGAACCAAAAGATTTTGTCTATCTACTAGACAAATGCCCTCATGACTGGCTTTTCTGCACCTTTATAGTTGTAGAGACTAATTAAATCATGTTGCTAGGAAAACAATTGATTTGAAAGCTGAAGTGGGCACAGAATTAATCATGTATCTGACAAAGATGCATTCTTTTTTATACCATGTACATGAATAATTATTTATCTCAAGGATGTATGACTGTATGTTATATTATATATACACAGAAGTATAGATTGGTTCAGGATGTGATTCTCCTGATTGTCATGTATTTACCATTTTTGCAAGAGAATAATCAATCAATTATCAGTTTCCTTTTGTATCAGTTATACTATTAAATTGTACATATTAAAATTTTGTTTGACTTAGACTGACTCCAACAGAGCTACCCAATACCAAAAATAAGTCACGCACAGTGATTTGCCTATCAGATACCGGCTCCAACGGCTGACCCAACCACGAGACGCATTCTGGGTACCAGGCCGAAGGAAACGCAAAAAAGCGTCGCCTCTCTCCTCGCTACGCAAATCTCCGACGGTGGAGCTCGCCCGCGGAAGGAATGGCCGAGCTTCCCTTCCCTCGGCACACACGGCCGCCGCCTGGGAGCACCACCTCGGCCCGCCGCTCGCCGCGCAGCACAAGCTGAGCTGGCATAGCCTTGGGCCGCTGCTGTCGTCGGGGAACTCGAGCTTAAGCTCGCGCGTGCACACGCCGAACCGGGCCGAGCGCCGCCGACGCCGTCCGCCGTTGTGCTCTGCAGCCAGCCCGTCGCTCGGAGATGCACTGCTCCAGCCACAGGCGCCTGCACCGGAGCTCCGTCTTGGCCTGCTAGAGACGAAACCGCAGCCGGCCCGCCGCTGCCAGGCTAGCTCCGCTCGAAGCCGCCGCGTCGAAGCACCGCCGGAGCCGAGCGTCAAGGCTGCCTCCGTCGCCGTGCTCTGCCCTACTCCATCCCTTCCCCTCCGGTCTGCCTCTTCCCTTCTGCCCTCCTCCTCTACTTCACATCAGTACCCAAGGAGATGAGTTCTTCCAGTACCAAGTAGTACTACTAGTTCTGCTTCTACTTTAGCAGTAGGAGGCCGCTGTTTGCTGCGATTTTGATTGATTGAGGATGGGAATCGTCTGCCTCGGTGCTTCCTCCACGCTGCTCTGCGAGGAGGACAGGAGCAACGCACTCGGCCTCGTCGGCTGCTGCGACGAGCTGGTGGAGGTGGGGAGCGTCCTTGATGGCTTGGACTCCGCCGCCGGCGCCGTGTTCCCTGTGGACACCGTCACCGATGAGGCCGTGTCGGCGTTGGTGGCGAAGGAGGTCCTGGCCGCCACGCCGTCGCCGTCGTGTAAGGTGCGGAGCGTGGCGTTCGACTTCGCCGTCACCGGGGACGACGCGCGGCGCGGGGTGGCGGCCGCCATGGAGGGCCGCGACGTGGGCGTCCTCGTCAACAACGCCGGCGTGACGTACTTGTGTGCCGCCTACTTCCACGAGGTGGAGGCGTCCGTGTGGGAGGCCGTGGCACGGGTGAACGTCGAGGCTGCGGCGGGCGAGGTAGGCAGCTCGGCGGCGTCCTCGGCCGTGCGGTCGTCCTCCGCTTTGGGCTCTGCTTTTTGCGTCGCTGTTGGAGAGGACTGAGTTATGGGTGCGCGACGCTTTTCTGTGCATAACCTAAAACTGGGAATGGGTGTCGTATTTAGGTCTCCTTGTTGGAGACAGTCTTACAGCTACTACTTGAAGGCTGGACTCTCATTAACGGCTGAGCTCTCGAGGCAATAACAAACAGCACAAACATTGGAGATGGAGCTATCATATTTCAGGTGCTTTCATGGAGCTTACTAGATTTAACATGTACTACTTAATGAACAAAGATTTTGGTGACCGCATATTATATGATGCATGCCTATCTTTCCAGTATAGTACATGATACATGCTTTGTCATGTAGCCACTAGCCAGTATATGACATTAATAATTTTATTTAGGACCATTTCATATGAGTACATATGTACCATTCATTTACTTAACTAGCTGTACAAATATTAGATGTTATAGTTTTTTTCCAGGTTATATTCAACTATGACTTTTCAGCTCGTTTTACAACGTTGAAGACTATTTATTTCTAAATTGTTAGCTAGTGCTCTTTTTAGTGGAAAAACTGATCCAGAGGTGATTGTAAATTGTCACAGCGTGGAGCTGAGGAGCACCTGAGGAGTGGATGCAAATAATTTCTTCATCATGAATACATGAGTGCGCATCCCCTTGCATGTTCAAGTGCAAGGAAATGCCTAATCAAGTACCCATTATTTGCAACATTCAGCAAGCTTTCAGTGATGATCAGGGGCCGAAGGAGCAGGCCACTGATGATGAGGAGAACGACAACTGGGAGCTCCCTGCAGGAGAGTTGCCTTCTTACAGCTACAGGTAGAGATAATCGAGAACTTGAAGCATGGTTTTGTCTACAGAAGAGATTCAACACCTCCAGCTTCAGTTCTTCCTGTCAGCTGCAGGAAATTGAGTAGGTGTTGCCAAATCGATTCTAGCAGATTGGTGGCCAAAGCACTACTAAACGTCTCTAAACTTGTGTATCACATGGGTTGTATTCTTCAACTCTGCAGAATCAGCTAGATTAGCCTGCGGCTTGTGCGTTGCGCTGTGGCTACCTGCAGATGGGCTCACTTCCATCCCTACTCAACAGGTCCCCACCTCAAGGCCTCAGAAGGCTGTGGCGCTGTCCAAGGAAGAGCTGTCCAAGCTTGTCTCCGCCTCTGGCGCCGTCCAAGACAAAGATAAAATCTGGAAAGAGTTGATAGATTTTGACACAAGCAGGCCCAATGTGTTTATGTCAAAAACTGTAGGTGCTTCTAGCTTCTTTGAAGGGTTTATGTGGGCTGCCCAAGGTGCTAATATGGGATATTGGTGGAAGGTGGAGAATGGAAAAAAGGTTAGGCAATGGGAAGACAATTGGTTAGGATCCTCCAGTCTTGCTATACAATTTTGGTTGTTATATAGAATAGTCAATAAGAAAAACTGCTCCTTTGCAGAGCTTTGGGATGGGGAAAAAAATTGGAAATGCACTTTTAGGGGAGCAGTAGATGAGGAGCTGTTTAACACTTGGTTGGAAGTAGTTCAATTAGTTTTGACAGTTCAGTTGACTGATGAAGAAGATGCTCTAATCTGGCAGTTCTCTACTAGTTTTGACTCGAGATAATCTGGCCAAAAGAAGGTTGAAGATAGTAGCTGTTTATTTTGCTCTGAAGTTGAATCAGTTCAGCATGTCTTTTTTTACTGTGTTGTAGCTTAGCAATAAAAAACATGCAACATGGTACTCTTAATATTGTTACCTCTGCAGTTTTTTGGAGTATTTGGAAACTTAAAAATAAACTTTGTTTCCAGGAAATTTGCTGGAAAACCACGGGGATGCTAATGTTCAGGATAGCTGGATTTCTACATAACTGGATAATTCTGTGCCCACCAGAAAAGAAAGAGCTTTTGAAAGAGACTGATTGCTTTCTGTTTTACATTTGTCGAGGACTTATCTTTTGCTGTTTCCATTACTGCTGCTGTCTATTAGTTACTGATGTCCATTTCTTCCATTCCTGTTTATTTGCACAAGAGAAAATGACATTTCTACTGTTTGGAAAATAGGAGTTATCATGGGAACTGACATACTATCTACAGATGGCAGTCCATTGTAAGTGCCAAACTTTTCTTTGCTTTCCCAGTCTATATTGAGGTCACAATTTGTTTCGGGAGTAAATTTAGTTTCAGCATTCATTCTAATGATTGAGGTCACAACATTTTTTGGCTGTCTTTGCAACACTATCTTCAATTTTCAGTAACTGTTATGACTAAAACTCTATGTTCAATTAGCAGAATCAACCTTTATCTCGAAACAGTTATACTCATTGAATTTAGTGTGCACTGACATGTGTTGAGGTATGCAAAAGCTTGGGCCACTTTCAGCTTTCCCTGTTAGTGTTTCATTTCTGTGACAATACTGAAACTGAAAGGCTGCATTGAATTTGAGCATTTGACAATGCTGAAAGGTAGATATTTTAATTTTGTTTTATAATGTGTAGAATTTGAGCATTTTTTATCAGTCTCTTCTTTAACTGAAGTGTATTGCCTTGAATCTGCGAACGCCAAGCACAACCATAATCTTAAATATGTGATTTCACAGATAAATCTGTAGGTTACCAACGTTGGTGTATTGATCAATACAATACTTGTTTATGATGTAAAATGTAAATTGATTGGACATGTACAGTTAATCAAGATGAGAAATTGTTAGAACTTTTCTTGATTTATGTGGATGTATGATATTTGAAGGAGGTTCACCAAGCTGTACGATGCAATCATGGACGACCAGAAGACAACTGAAGTGATGAAGAAGTGCAACAACAAGGGGCCTCTCACAAGAAATGAAGTGTGATGAACTCATGATGGGGTGGATCTTTTGTCATGAATAAATGTCTTACCTGGTGTTTATCTTTTATAGTGGCTGATAATTAGTTCATCGCTTGTATGAACAATGATGTATATGTGTATATATGACTTGGTAGTTGGCATGGAAGCACTATATGTGTTGGCAGTTGGTTTGTATGAACCAATGTTAGTTTTTGGCTATGTCTGGAACCATTGTATATGTATATGTATATGTATATGTATATGTATATGTATATGTATATGTATATGTATATGTATATGTATATGTATATGTATATGTATATGTATATGTATATGTATATGTATATGTATATGTATATGTATATGTGACCTGTTGGTTGGCATAAACTAATGTCAATTTTGTGGCTATGTTTGCCCTCAAAATCATGACTAAATACATACTAGTATATTTAAGCAGGCAACTATTTGGTTGAGAAATAGAATCCCTTGGTATGCCAATAATACAAATTAAATTAGAATTGCATATGTCTGTGGCATGGGATCGTTAGAACTTTACTAGAGGTAAGATGAATTAGGGTGCAAGCATTGCTAATGCAAACGACGTGTGTAGTATTGATGTCTTGATCATCAAGGGTGCGGTGCTGGTGTTTCTTGATCTCTAGCGTCTCCTTTTGTTCATTTCGGGGGTCGTGCATGTTTTCCTAGCCATTCACACCCAAAGGCCCACCAGACACAAGTGTTGCAATACAATACCATATTGCAACTATACACGTTTCTATAGCGACCAAACCGACAAGTGGCAATAGCAACATACTATTGCATCGCTTTAGATATTTAGTTGCAATAAACAGATACCTATTGCAATGGTCGTGATAAATATTATAAAAAAACTATGGCAATAGCAACAAATTATTGCATCGCCTTGGAAATTTAGTTGCAATACACGGTCTACCTATTGCAATGGTCGTGAGAAATATTACAACCCAACAACACTGTGGCAATAATTTCAAGCAATAGTAACACTGTTCAATAAGGTTGCAATTGCAACGCCAATCAATACTAATGCAACACAATGTCATCATGGTAATATTTTGAACCTATAGCAACGCTTTGCACAAAAGGGATGGTATAGGTCTCACCTCTTGCAACGGCGAACGTAAATATTGCAACACGTTGTTTTTATGGCAACATAGTCCCCCTGTTGCCACCTTTTTCGACAAATGTTGCAAAACATACCCCTATTACAACATAATTTGTGATGCAAATGGCGTCACGTGGCAATAGGGTCAAAATCTAGTGGTGAGTATTCAGGGTATCGTGATTTATATTTTCCCAAAGGAAGGCATAGGTTTAAAAGTTTTTATTAGGTACATGAACAAGATAACATGCTGTATAATATACCAAAGTTCATAGTAGGGGTAAGCCATGATAAAATAGGGATAGTGTGACACACACAAAAGCCAATCTCAAGGATAAAAAATAAAGAATAGAGAATAAATAATATAACCTAAACAAGAGCAGGCATAAAGAATCCTAGTGTTGCTATGCAAAGATTAGCAGACGATCATACAAATATATGGTTAGGACTTAGTTCTAAGCACCCAGGCACCCAAGGAGACCAAACGAGCACTGGTCTGCCAGCAAGCGCGTAAGGCAATTTAGACTCCTACACCATACCCGAACGTGGGGGATTACAAGAGACGAACAGGGCTGTCACCACCTGCCGCCTACCCCTCAACCGTTGGGCATAGTCATATCCATTGGTTCTCAGTATACTCAAGCACCATGCCCGTATATATGAAAATTGTCCATGTCCCCTAGGAGCTCTGACCCGATGGATCGTCAAGCTTAGGACAAGGGCAAACCTGAAAGTACAATCAACCGCCACTGTAGCTTAGATCGACTAGCCTAACCACATATGTTGCATGACTAATTGAGCATAGAGATTCGTATACTAAGCTAATAGCATATGACCTTAGCTCTAAATCATAGGCATAACAAAGATTGTTTAAGTGGCTTAACTACTAAATGAGCTTGAGAAAAACCTTCGCAAAAACTTGAGAGGAGAGGGAGATGGGGAGCTTGGAATTTCCAGGGGTTTGAGCTGGAATTTGGGGTGTGGCAATGAGCTCCCCTTACATGGCTATTTATAGCCAGGGAAGATGGCAGCCATATGCCTCTTGGGGGTTGGTTGACCCCCTTTTGTGTCCCTTCTGCCCAATTTGAATGATGGACAATGTAATAGACTAGGATTTGATAGTATTGGTCATAGGCACGTTGCCCGAACCCTTGTTGTTCAATTTCTGGGAAATTTTCAGAGCAAGGCACATTGGATGCCAAACAAGAAGTGATGGAAGGAAGATGGCTGAGATAGGCAACATCTAGGGGTCGGTCGACCCCTACTTGCACCTTTGCTGTCTCAGTTGTCACCCAAGATCAAGAGCAGAGCAAAGAATCATGCTAGAAGGAGATGATGGAGTGGAGACGTGAGGAGGGGGGGGTCGGTGGACCCCCCATTGTCCTTTACTAAATTCAAATTTTCAGGAAAGACTATTCTCAATATTTTATCAAGTGAGGAACAAGTTTGGTAAAAAAAATTAAATATCCAAGAATTTAAAGTGAAAAGAATGCTAAATGGAAATGCAATTTGAAAGTAAAAATAAGATAACTACCGATTTACCTATCGGTGAGGGCTCCGTGTTTTAAGTCCTTAGAGCAAGACTTCTCCGTCTTATTCATTCTTCAGGTGCATCGGTCGGTCCCAGAGATGGAGACCGAGATGTGTGCACCTCCTTCGCCTACCAAATTTGTTCGGGTTCAAGTTGTGATTTGGGTTTGGTGGTTTTGACTTGTTTGGTCTTCTCACCTATTCATCCATCTTGATTTTCTCGCCTTCTTAGCGTTGGGAGGTTGATTCCTCTGGTGTGGTGTTGGACGGGGTCTCCTCTTGGGTTGGTTCACCTTGACCTGCTTGTTGGTTTATAACCATTGAATGCACATTTTACCTTCCAGCCCAGGAATTGGAAGTGGATTTGTCCCAATCCCACGTAGATGTCTGCATTTGTGGTGTGGAGGAACGACCTTCCAAGAATGAGGGGGTACTTCCTCATTGTCTCCCATGTCCAGAATAATGATGAAGTCGGCGAGGACGTAGTTGTCTTGGATTTTCAGCAAGATATCCCTTGCTAGTCCCTTAGGAAATCAGATCATTTGATCTACCATCTGCTAACGAACAAATGTAGGGAACAAAGGTCCCGCTAGCAAATTATCATAAGTTTACCTTGGACATGATGTTGACACCTGATCCAAGGTTGCAGAAGGCGTTGTGGAATGTTTGTGGTCCGATTGAGCATTCGATCGTTGGGCGGCCTAGATCTTCCTTATTGGTGATGAATGGTGAATCAAGAAGATAGCCCCAATTTGATCGGAACAAAGGCTTACCGAACCTCATTGTTACCAACTTAATAGTTTCAACCGGATCCCCAGGTTTCCCAGGGATCTTACCTTGCTCAAAGGATGGACAATGACCGCTAATTGAGCTAATTGTGTTTCTAGCATTTTATTAAAGCTCAGTTGATTTTTAACGGCAGAGGAAAAGCTGTCCATTTTCTCACTAAGGTTTTCAAGAATCTTATCATTAGCCAACAACTTTTTATTAATACCATCATTGATTTTAGATTGGCCTAAGACAAGATCTCTTAATGAAGGTTGGTTATTCTAAGAATTATTGAAATTATTGCTAGACCCATTACCTCTATTACCTTGGTATAAGGGGCGTGAATTCCATCCTCCTTGTGGTTCAGATTGATACCCATTGTTGTTGTCGTTCTTGATGATGAAGTTCACGTCCTCCCTTGTTTTGGGACAATTGTATTCCGATTGATCATCTCTGCCACATACCTCGCACCAAGGGTTAGCTTCAATAGCTCGTGCGGTGGCGTATGGTTGAATGGCCTCTTGTTCCTTCTTGGAACCTTCTTCTACTTTCTTCGTCAAGAGGTCCATTTTGGCAGAGAGCGTGTCCACCACATGAATGGTGTGCATACCTCTCTTCTTTGGCTGGAGGTGCTCCTCATTCCATCCTTGATTTGTGACTAACTTCTCAATGAGGTCCTTGGCATTCCCCATAATAAATTGGAGAAATGCTCCTCCATCAGCAGCATCTAGGTGATTATGGGCTATGTTTGTCAGCCCATGGTAGAAACCCATGATGAGCATAGGCATGAATGTACTCCTAGAGATGTTCCCATGCTTCAGGAATTGTCTCATCAGATTGTTGTTGAAAGATTGAAATCTTTCCGCGAAGGGCGTTGGTTTTGCCCATTGGGAAAAACATCTTGAGGAATGCGTTGGCATATCTCTCCTAGGTCGTAGCTTCATCTTTCTGGGCATAGAACCATTGCTTCACCTTCCTCAACAATGAGAATGGGAAAAGGCGAAGGCAGACAACGTCTAACGACACTCCTTTAATGGTGAAGGTACCACACACCACCATGAAGTGTTGGAGGTGGGCATTAGCGTCCTCATGGGGCATTCCACAAAATGGGTTGGCTTGCATCATGTTGATAAGCGCAGGCTTTAGCTCAAAAGTGGCGTCCCCAAAGTTAAATTGGGGACCCATGGCCACATTAGCTGTAGAGGGGGCCAAGTGCTTGGAGATCATCTTTTGGGCCACAACCTCCATGGGTAGTGGTGCGGAGCCTCCTTCCTAGGACAGATCCGAATCTATGATGAACTTTTGTGGGGGAACTTGACAACATCTAGTTCTCCTCAACAATTGCTCAAGATCCTCAATGAAATAGCTCGGTAATTGGAAACTGCTCATACACTGTCTTGCTTCACAATAACAAGAAACAAAGATAGGGGTAAGCCCTTACAACTAATCGATAACTAAATTGATGGCAAATTATGGATTCAAATTTATTAAAATTCCTAGGATGATGCTTTCCCCGGCAACGACACCAGAAATGCTTGTTGGTATTTCTTATGTCTATTGGATAATTCCGCAAGCGCACATAATATAAC